ACCAGTTGGTCTCAAATGTAGCTATGCTTATCACTTTAAAACAGCGCCAACGAAACTGTTAGACATTTATTCTGTGACAGAGCACACGCTTTTCATTCGTCATCTTCATTGAAGAATACTTAGATAGTGTTCTTGAGAACACCTTTCAAATATTCCGCCACGACACCATAGAGTTTCGTTTTGCACGGAAAAAAGAAGGCACCGTAAGTTGTTTACATTCGAAATGTCGTATCGTGTTTGTGGTCTTTTAGTACAAATTACTACAAAAAATCAAACAAGCGTAAGTGAATATAATTTTTTTATGTTTCCTCTTTGTATTATCGCATCGTTAGTAATTTCTCTTCGTGCAGGTTTTGTCTTCTGTGGACGTATGGTGATATAGAGGCACAAGAGCATGCTGGTACCAGAACTGCTGCCGTTAATCAAAGTCGGAAGGTAAGGAAAGGTCTTAACTTATAACTTCTCAGCGTGATTCGGTTATAGATGTATTTAGTGTCAAGAAAAGATATTTAATCTCTGTCTTTTATTGTGGGCGAAGTATAGACTAGGTTAGTTTGGTTTAGGTTATCATACTTAACCTCTTGGGGAATGACTCGAAGCCTGAATAAAATATTAATTACACTGCAACTCAAAATTTGTTTGCGTTTTTCACCGAACTTTTCTACTATTGTTACACAGTGTTATTGTCAGTGCATTGATTTGAACTCAAGATCAGGTTACGTTGAAAGGCTTGTCTCTCTGATAGTGTGTATTCGAAATTATATTCTTGTCGTTGCTTCTTCAAATTCAAATGCTTGTTATAAAAAGTCTGTTCACTTCTTATAATGTTACCTCCATATTCACAGTAATTTAGTTTCATTTATTTTCAGGTGCTTTGGTAGATTTCAATAAGCAGGGGGGTAGTACCTTCTGCTGAAGGACCCATTATAAACTGGCTGATATATGCAGCGAGAAGACTGTTTATGTTTTTCTTTAAGTTTTGTTGCATCTAGTCATTGCTATTTTTGTTTTAAAGATTAGGATTTATTTCTTTACGTTATTGTTTTCATGTTTCATCAAATAAAGTCAACATTCTACTTAAAAAAAAAAAAACTGTTTCTCTATGTACTGTTTACCCTTTACCTAACTATATATAAATTCCAGAGTTATACCTAAATTTGAGATTCAGATCTGCGTGTAGCACTTTTGTACGTGGAGACTTTACGTCGATATCACGTTGAATCGACGTGATCAACACGTCGATAAATCGTGGATGAGATAGTCAAATTCACGTGGATAACACGTGAATTTGCCACGTGTTTTCCACGTATAACACCACGTCGATTCCACGTCTTTTCCACCAAAATTTCTCTCTGGGACAGACAGACAGACAGACGCGAAACTTTTTGATCATCACTGGAGTAATAGGCTTCGCTATCGCTCAGCCAACAATCTGTCCACTTTTAACTAGCTATATGTACGCCAGACCACGTCTCGCGTAACAGGCTTCGCGATATATCACGAAACACTGTTACGCTGCGACGCGCCTGGCGCACATATAGCTAGGCCTGCGGCGCTGACACCCGAGACGAGTTAAGGAGAGGGTATA